TAGGGATGCTCAGTATTTCTGTATACAGTTGTAGGGGCTTTATTGTAATGTGCTTCCAAAGATTTAGTGTGGATGGATGCCCCTTTAAAACAACCCACCCATATTTACTTGGAGGTGTCCTGTGCGACTCTGCAAGACTACTTGCCCATTGTGGTGTTTCATTGCTCCCTTCAAGCTGTGGAGCCCTGTGAGCAAAGATTCTACTTCGTGAGCTCCTGGCATGAAAGCTGTGAACGAGCAATTTGGCTACTACTGCATAAATGAGTTTGCTCTGGAGCCATCCTTCCTGAGCTAAGACAAAAATGTGTGAGCCGGAGGCTAAAAAACTGTGAGCTAGCCCACACTAACTCAGCTTAGAGGGAACTTTGAGTGGCCACTTTTTGTCGACTCTGCTTTCGGTGTTGTGTGCTTGAAACAGCTGAGCTGGGTAGGAAGGATGACTGTTGCGGGCCTCTGAAAACTGCCCCCCCGCCCAATTAACTTGTGAAAGCCACTGCCACAAGATGTGGGTGGGAAGTTGGGGGTGGGGGAACCCGTAGAGATGAAATATATTGTTAACTTAATCAAGCTTGCGTTCAGGGACACTGAACCTCTTAATATGAAATGCTGTTGAGAGAATGGGGGAGGGCAAACAGCTCTTTGAGCTTCCAGAGGCCTCTGGAAGGCTGCAGTTCGGAACAGAATGCTAGCTGCTAGCTAAGAACCTTGAATCTGGTCCAGCGAGGCCATACATATTGATGCTCTCTAGTGCGTGTCTAAAATTAAAAACAACAACATACAAACCTGACTTACCCAAACTTTCCAAGGAGATGCAAGGCAACTGTTCACATTAGTGTTTGTCATGATTTAATTTTATGGATACTTTGGACATATAGAGAAGATGAACGAAAGGAGACAAAACAAGTATACAAGATGACTGTGGATGGGAGAGTTGGAAGGGGTCGACCTCAGCGAACGTACCTCAATCAGATTGAGGACATTTTTTAGCAAAGGCCAGTTTAGGAGTACCCTAATTAAGTTAATAACGATGTACCTACCTATATAGTTTAAGTTTAAAAAAATTGGCTCTCAAAATAAATTTCAATCGTTGTACTGTTGATATTTGGCTCTCTTGACTAATGAGTTTGCCCACCACTGATCTAGGCTAAGCTTATAATTTAGGAAAAGGTCAGGCATTTTACTTTATAATTTGTTGGGGAATGTCATGTGGATTCATAAACTTACTACTAATTATTCACAGAGAGGTGGCCTTTTAAAAAATGGCTCAAGGTCAGCCCAGGAACTTTTTCTGATACTGGATTTGAACTTAGCCTTCTTAGACTGACACTGAATGTAATTTCAATTGAACCAACCTTGGATGTCAGCAAAATAACAACAACAACAACAAATAAAATTCAGGAATCTCTAAATATTATCTATGAAACATAAATTTTAACCCCATTAATTCAGGATTGCATTCTTTGAGGAAATAGATTTAAATTGTAAACCTTGTCTTGAGCATTTGTTAAACTTTATTTTTCCTTTAGCAAAGGTGGCTTCCCCCTCCCCATCAAGCTCATGTTTGGTTACATGCTGTATTGGTGTCCCTTGAAGACAGCTGAAATGCCACGGTCATTGAACAGCATACAAAATTCCAAAAATAATGTCTGAAGCTTTGCCTGATTTTTTATAAAACCATTCCTTCTCAGAAACAGTAAATGATGGATTTATGTAGAAATAAACACATATTTGCTCCTTGAACACACATGCTCTCAGTTTATCAAAATGGAAGGTCAGAAAAAGAACACAGTATTGCTGTTGTGCCAACAGAAAGAACAATACAGAATCTCGGCCTGATCATATACCCAAGACATTAAAACAAAAGACAACTGAAATTGAACCTGGCTTCAGGTTACACTTTCCCTGTGGAATCTGTTATTTTCTTTCCTATTTTTCAAGATTTATTAATTTTGTCAGCAAAACAAAATAGGTTATTTATATTGATGTCAATCATTCTATTTCACTGGAAAAAATTGTTGTGAGAAAAATGTTGAGCTGCCTCATCATCATAT